TAGCTTTTAGACTTACTAAGATGACATGGCAGATAAACACTGAAAAACAGAGATGCAGTTTGCAAATATATATTTGTGGATTTATATAGCTTATCAAAAGTCCTGAAAAATATAGTAATTTGTATTTCTAATGTTCTAAATGTAATTCATAGTGAAACCATCCAAATGTGACATGCTATCTTCTTTACAATGTCAAGCTTGTGTAAAAAGAGCTAGCCAAGTGGAAAGTTCAATTAAATTAAGCAATCAGCATGGAAACCAAGGGAAATGTTCCTCATTGCTCCACTTTTAGAAGTCTACTTCAGATTTACTCTTTGTACAAAACCCCTGTCTCTGGTATGAATGTAATTAAAGTGAGCCTATAGTCCTGATAATAATAATCAGGATATCGGGACTATAAGGTTCCCTTGTAACTTTGTGAGCACTGCCCAACCCAAAATCTAAGTTAAGAATAATTAATCACCTCGTTTCCAGTGCCGGGCTCCTCCGTTGCAGCCTCCAGCTCCTCCCTCGGTGATGTCAACATCCAAGCTGACATCACCCACAATCTCCTCCAATCCTGTGCTTCTCACAGACAAGCAGTGAATTGAAACTAGGTATGGGCGGACAAATGCAGCACTTCTCCAATCACTTGCGCGGTCAGCAATATTAGATCCCAGAACTGGGTTTCACTCGGCTTTGAAGGAGGAAATCAGCAACTAGAGGTGGATTTAACCCTTCAGTGTAAACATTAAATTTTTACAAAATGGCAGTGTTTTACATTGCAGGGCTAAAAGTACAGGACCAGTCTGAGACTGCCTTTGTTTTTTCTTGTTAATTCATAGTTGCCAATAATTGGGCACCCCTCTGTTCAGCATTGAGCACGATCCTAAAATATAATGTACACCAAAACCTCCACCTTACGCATATTAAAATTCACTGATCCCCTTTCCCCATACAAGTGAGGCTCCAATATAAAAATGGAACGCTATTAATAGCAAATCCTTTCTAGACCCATTTACACTCCTGAATTTTATTACTGTACCTTTGCCAGAATTAGCATCCTACATAATAGCATTATAGTATAGGTCTGCCAGCACTGATTACACAGTTGCCATGGAGACTCAGGGCCCGGAACACAACCTTCATCGATGCAATCTTTTATCCCCTCTCTGCGACGTCTGCTAGGTATAGAGGCAGACGTATAACAAAATAGCAGGCGGCCTAACTAAAAACTGCACAATAACGCTGTCAGACAAGTATATGAACTGAGAGCTGGAATGAAATGTTATATTTTTCATGTCATTTTTGTTAGTCATTACATTCCAAAAATAATTCAGTAGCTATAGTGCTCAGGCATATTTCCTATTAAAATAGCGATGCTATTAATTGTTTTTCTATAGAGTACTGACTCACCTAATTCACTTTAAAAAACAGTATTTATTTATTTCTCCTTACACCATTAAATAAAATATTGCATCCCCTATAAATTATGCCAGCCTTTTTTTTTTTTTTTAATGAGACATTAAGTTTTCTTTTAAATCACTATAAAAGATTTAGCAAACGACATTGCAATTCAATTCAGTCAAGGCACAGCCAAGGCACAAAATACAAATGAGACATGGAATAAACATTTTATCTTCTCTGTATACTTTCCCTATGCAATCCTCTATCTACTCTCCCCTTCGGGAGCTCCATACAAGCAGGCATGTGATCTTGTGGGGTCTTCGCTAACATCCTACAAGTGACAGCGCCACTTTAAATAAAGCGGATAACAAAATATTAAATATATCCTTTAAAAAGTTTGAATGTGGGGGGCGGGGCCTGACCTGCAAGCTCAACAGAAGCATGTTCACAGGGCTCCCGTTGCATTTGCCAGTTTCTATGAAATACTCCCAAATATCAAACTTGCACAAACACCTTTGTGCACTGCCTTGGTGAACATTTTGACTCCTTACTCGAGAATTTCAGAACTTGGGATCCCAAGATGGCTCGATGCAGCCTGCAGTTGCTGGAGCTGGGGAGAGGTAGCTGCTCTCCTCGTCCTTGCATTGGCAGTGTACCCGCTGTACTCCTGCCCCCCACCCCCTTCTGACCGATGGGGGTGATCCCTGTCCACCCCCGGGAGGCAACCCGGCTGTATGAAAGGCATGATTCAATGTCGAACAACTGACATGCAAACTCATAGACACGTATCACGGTGGATGCTATGTGCTCCTCTAAGTGCCGTGCTGAACAAACTGACTTTGCAGCTAAGCTGGACAGCATATTCAATACCTTCTGGAGAAGTCTGGCACTCAAACAAAACCAAGCTGCAGCCTCCACATCGGGTCAACACTTACCCCTGGGGTTGCCTGCACGCTCCAATCACAGGCACCCTGAGCTCACAGCCAAGAGTTTAAAAATGTCGGCTGCCAAGGAGACGTCTCCCGTCCAATAATACAGCAACACAATTGAAGACAAAAGTAGCAGGGCTTCACCACAAGAGATTGAAGACTCACCACACATCCGGCTGTGGCATATATCGACTATCCCAGTGAGCCCCAGTGGCTGATCTTGAGGACCTCTGAGGGCCTACCTCACTTGCATAATCCCGCCTTCTACCTTCAGCTAGGTGGCCTACATGGGCCTGATACCAGCAATATCATGGCTGGACTGTTTCCACAACAGGGTGTCGGCTGACCCTGGAGGTAGCTCGTTTCAATTATGGCATTATCTACACCAACAGTATGCCTGACTTACCTCCATGCTGAACTGACAAATGTTTTTATTTTTTATTTTTTGATTTTTGTTCATTTTTCCTGAATGTAGGACCTGCGTCTGGCATACCTGGCATGTCTAGTAAACAGTGAGTAGCCTGTGGTTGATCATTGTTGTAAAAAATAAATAAATATATATATATATATAACCCCCCCCCCCTAATAAATGGCCCCATGGTGAGGCAGCTCTTAACTAGCCTGGGGGGCAAAGTGTCCCCCCCAAACCTCCACTCATTCCCCGGGAGTGGGGGCTATTCAACTAAACGGGGGACATAGGGTCCCTCTTGGCCCCTTCCCATAAGTGGCGGATGGGGGCCCTAAATGAAAATGGGGGGACCTGATGTCCTCCTCCCGGCCACCACCTATGAGCGGCGGGTGGAGTCCCTAAATGATAATGGAGTGGGGACCTATTATCCACCCCCCGACCCCCACCCATGAGCGGCGGATGGGGGTGCTAAATGACAATAAGGGAAGGGGGGACTATTGTCCTCCCCCCGTCCCCCACCCATGAGTGGTGGTTGGGGGCCCTAAATTACAATAAGGGGGGGGACCTATTGTCCTCCCCCCCAGCCCCCTCCCCATGAGCGGCGGGTGTGGGCCCTAAATGGAAATGGTGGGGTCTATTGTCCTCCCCCCCAGCCACCACCCATGGGCAACCGATGGGGGCTAAGTGTAAAAATACCCCCCTTGTGAGCCTAGTCACCCACCACCCAAATAAAATCAAATAAAGCCCTACCTACCCCTCTCACTCTAAAAAAAAGTGAGGGGAGAGACAATAAAACTAAATACCTGTAAATAAAAAAAATACTTACTTTTTTCTAAAACCGTCTTTTTTCAGCCCCCAAAAAAGCCAAATTAAAAACCATAATACCCGAACTTATAAAATAAAAATTTAAAACCTAAGCGCAAAAACAAAATATTCCATCTTCACCCAGCGAGAGCACCATGCAGACTGAACTCTCGTAATTAGGGCCCCCACCTGCAGCTCATGGGTGGACAATAGGTCCCCCCGCCTTATTGTAATTTAGGGCCCCCACCCATCGCCCATGGGTGGGGGTCAGGGGGGAGGACAATAGCCCCCCTTATTGTCATGAGCGGCAGTTGGGGGCAGGAGGGGGCGGATAATAGGTCTTCGCCCCCCTTATTGTAATTTAGAGTCCCCATGCGCCGCTCATGGGTGGGGGCAGGGTGGAGTACAATAGGTCTTTCCCATTGTCATTTAGGGCCCCCACCTACCGCTCTTGGTTGGGTGTCGGGAACTTTTTTTTTTTGCCATTGGCTTCTCACTGTTTAGTAGACATGCACCTACGGCATAGAGATTTCAATATCCCTTAGGCTCATATTGACCCACACAGAGTGAGGGAGGACATGGGGGGGCTTAGGAAGTGGTGGGGAGCACAGCTCTCTGCCGCTTCTATCTTTACATATTACATGGAGGGAGCTGCACGCCGGTAGCTCCCTCCTTGTAATTCGTCTTTCTGACGAATGAATAGACGAAATTCCCGTCCGATTTTTGGACAATGGCGAATCCCCAAGAATTTAACTGGGCATGTGCGGGAATTTCACAGCGCTATCTTGTGTGGGCAGATGACATGTCCCACCGGGCCTTCATCTACCAACACAAAGATGGCAGTACCCAGGACCTAGGTCTGGGAAAAAATAAAGATTTAAAAATAGGTAATGTGGGGGGCCTAGGAGCATATGGGGGTGACTAGGGGGGAGATTAGATCTAGTGAAGTCAGGGGGGGGGTTAAAAAAAAACGGAATGCGGCCATGACAGTATTGCTTTAAATACAGCAACACTGGCTGACCGCCTTAAAATACAACAGGAGTCCAGCAAAGCATCATGGGAATTGTAGTTCACAAACAGCTGCAGCACCAGCATTTGACGAGGCATGTATATGCAGTATTTAAAGTGTAGTTACCAGGGGGGTGTCTTAAACCCTGCATTATTAGGGAACATTCCATTATTCAGATATTTCAATCCCAGTCCTTGGTGAGTGCGATGCAGACAGTGATTTAGATCATTCCAATTATAATCTTACTGGACCAGTTACGGGACATACAGCTGAACACCAGGATAAATCTATACATTAATGCCTGGTCTAAATGCATTTCACAGGCAGGAGTTAGCAAGCCCTGCAGCCGTGTGTTTAATCCAAAATTCTATTTTTGACTCTATATATTATATTAAAAAAAATATATATATATATATATCCACATACATACATACACGCAGACGCAGACACACACATATATTTTATTTATATATATATATATATATATATATACATACATACACACATTATAACAATTGCACATCCTCAGGTTAGGTCTGGTGGTGGGGGTCGGCAGCGAATCGCAGTGGTGGGAGGACCATTTTAGCTCCATAGCAAAGCCTGATTACCCATTTCATCTGCTGCAGAGACTGCGGGCTGGCATAACAATGACAGTGGCTGCCGTCAGGAAGGAACAAAGAGAGCACAGACACTCTTAAATACTCCTTCATAATACACCGCAATGTGAATGGGACATCATTCAAATACAGTCTCTAAATGTCAGGTAAGCAAGCCTGAGACCCAGATTGATATTTATAGATTTTAAAAATATTGTACATTAATAGACACATTCTCACACTCACCCAAATAAATGTAAAAATACATTTTATAGTTTATATATATATAAAGATCTATGTCAATCTATAATCTATATATATATACACACACACATTTAGCATTTGCTAGTTTGCAGGAATGTCTTAGGGAAAATGATTAGGAAAAACATTGCAAGTGTGTTTCTAACATAAATTATTGCTGTCTGCAGGGGGTAAGAAATCAGACGCTAAAATGTCGAATTGCTCCAGACAAACATTATTGTTTTGCATTTACGCATATAGGTATCATTGTGGTGATCTAGTTATTTAATGCACACTGTCCACTGCTGTATTTGGGGATTACTGGAGATAACAATATACAAATATTACTATTTGCTATCTGCAGAAATTCCACTAAATTAGCAAACTGAGCAATATTTCTGTATATGAAGGAGGACGCCTAAAATTTTACTACAAATCATCAATTGCATATACGGATATTGCCAAAGAACATAAAAAGGGTAGAACACATGTAGTGTTTGGGTTTTTATGGCATTAGTATTGCATTATATCATAGAACTCTGGTTTGGGTGGGTTGTACTTTTAGGGGGGTCCTTGGGGGCCAATGGATATGTCCCACGGTGATTATACACAATGCAGTCAGATCACCATGAAGGATAAGACCTGCCTTTTGCAGCCTGGAGGAGCGAATGTTATTTAACGGTACTAGAAGCGAGGGGTGGGATTTAATTTACAGTAATAGGTGTACGGAGCTAACACAGCAGAACATAACATTCTACGTGTATCGTAATCGGGTACAATGACCCGCAGGCAGAGCGATACACTGTAACGGTTGTCAGTGGGCCTGTATATGGCCGTACAAATGTATCAGTGGAAATATAATATAATATACTATCAATATACAAGAAGAAGATATGATCGGAGAGACTGCTTGTACCAATGAAATTTTTGCTTTATTTTTCTTGATCCACAGAACGATAGCACAAACGGCCTGGCCGCAGAAAGGAACAAGGTCCGATCCCAATCAGGTGAGGGGGTTATAATAAATTAGAGACGACATATAAAGTGATACAAAGTAAGGTGGAATTAGTAAATCTCAGGTATGGGGTTATATTGACAGCAAGGAGTAATAACGCAAGTAAGAATCTGGCATACGACTTGGGGTCACGCTACCCCTTCGGCTGAAGGTTCAAGATGAGTCAAGTTTTATTGATATTAGGGAGATGGGCTATTCAATAAATTGGGAAATAAGGAGAATTGACAATGGAATTGTAAATGGCCAAACTGGTAAATATAGTGGCCAGCAATTTGTAATTCTCCTCGCTGTTTTTTTCTGCAATCCCCAGTTTAATAAATAAATCACTAGTTATTGCTGCAACTTTTTGTGTTTAAGGCTTTAAAAAATGTAGCTTCTTTAGGTTTTAACACATTCCCTATTCCTCTCTGCCACTGTAATTAGAATATATTCAGAGTACATCAAGCCACACTCCCCCATGGAATCCATGCACTGTCTATTAGGAGGAGCTTCAAAGACTGATACTAATACAACATTGGGAGCCAGTAACATAGATAAATAATTAATCAGATGATAATGTATTCTCTTACTTCCTCTGTAAATGTCTTTTGAAATGACAGTACAGATGGGAGTATAGAAGGGAGTAGCCTAGAACAGGTTGGTGTGTAGGTAATGTGCGGTAAGATTTGGTCATCAAACAGCTCAGATCTTTGGATTTTATACTGAATATTTCCCGTTCAATGATCTGTAACAGAGGGGTGAGCAACGTTTCACGGAGTGTTTGAAGGGTTAATGACAAGCTCCCAATGGAGTTAATTCCCCTCAAAGGTTCTCTTTCATTGTCTCATACAGAACTTTATTAAATATGTATAGGTAGCTCAAACAAGGCAGCCAAACACAAAATCACAATGTTAAACAATTTAACCCCGTTAACCACTAAATATGACAGTGTGCATCAAAATACATAGCATGATTTAATCGCTAAAATTGTCACGATCAGAAAACAGAACTGCTAAATTTTAGCTTAAAAAAATAGCCCAGACGGTACTATGGCTTTTATCAAATCTGCTATTTCTGCTAATCCGATTTTAAAATTCAGCAAAAATTACGTGTTTAGCGAATAAATCCCAGAATGTCTGACCACCGTCTGTTATGTTGATTTGGGGATACAATGTTCTAAGACCAGCGGTTCCCAGTCCTTTAATCACATAAATATTCTAGGCTCTGTCATTATTCCTACTGGAGCAGATATGGGAAATGTCTTAGGACTGGGTTGGAAAACACCGATTTTTAATTAGTAGGACATAGTGGCTTATGAATAGACCCCCTTTATAAATATTGTTCCTATACAAGCCATCTATAGATATCTAAGACTAGGCGCACTGAATGAGGCCCCCATGTTATTTATATAAATCTGGGTTAACTTAGCACTGATTAGTAATGGCATACTACAGCATAATAATTTTTTCCGTGTTGCACGGAAGCGTTAGTTGATCGGCCATCTTGAATACTGCGATACATGCTACGATTATACATATCACATGATATTACACATAACATGTGTGCAAGATTCAGAAAAAGGGAGTGCAGTTGTCATGGTGATTGTGCAGGGTAAACTTGACTCAGCAGAAAATAAGCGTGGTTGGCATGGTGATAACACAAGATCTGCGTGATACAGATGAAGACGGTCAGCCATGGTTATTACACGGGGCTGTGTGTATATAACTCCCAGAAACAAAGTGGTGGTTATACAATATATGTGAATATGGAAGGTTAAGAGGATGAAGCATGACTCGGCAGAAGATAAAGTCACCCAAACAATAATAAAATGATGCTACTCAGGGGGAGATAACGTTGTCGTGATGACAGTACACCACTAGAGGAGGAATTAGGGATGGAGGACAGATTTATATAAATTTTACATAAACAGATGATATTCCAATATGTAAACAATGCCATGACATCGGCTCCAAATGTCCTTTAATGTAAATATAAAACAGATAAATGACCCCCAGTGACTGATAAAAATTTGTTTGCCCTCTGTATCCCCCCAGAAGCCATTACTATGTAAAGCGTTATATATTTATTTTTTAACCAAATCAAGTATAAGCCTAGCCTTGTGACGCTACCAACCCTGTCGAATCTTGTCTAGGAACAGTCAAAGAATGAGAAAAGAACAGTTTATTTTTCAATAGTAACCTTTATTGGAAGCTAACCGTTATTGTGAGGTCTCTACAATAAGTATAGCTCCAGTGTTTGTCCCTGATATTACTCAGAGAGTCTTGTACTAATTATCTGAGTGAGATTACTGAGCAGGGAGGGTTTAAACGAGGCAGATGCTAGCTATGTAGAAACCTGCTCATTATAGCGTGCGGCAGCCCTAATTAAGGCCAGTGTTTGTTCTGACGTATCCCACCCAGCTGCCTTGTTTATTGTGTTGGCTAAGTAGGGGGTGCTGGTAACAATGCCAGTCAAAACACAAACAGGACTACAGTAATAACTGATTAACAGAATGCAGAAAATGTCTTCAACTGTATAAATGAGACAGACACCAGAGAGAGGAGGAAAGCATAGTGCATGAAGTAAAGGAAGAGGGGAGAGCATAGTGTAGAAGGGAAAGGGAGAGGAGGAGAGTATAGTGCAGGAAGTAAAGGGAGAGGAGGATGGCATAGTACAGGAGGTAAAGAGAGAGGGGAGAGCATAGTGCAGAAGGGAGAGGAGATTATAGTGCAGGAGGTAAAGGGAGAGAGGAGAGCATAGTGCAGAAGGGAAAGGGAGGGGAGAAGAGTATAGTTCAGGATATAAAGGAAGAAGAGGAGGGTATAGCACAAGGGGTGAAGAGAGAGGAGGAAAGCATTGTGCAGTAGGTAAAGATAGAGGAGGAGAGTATAGTGCAAGAGGTAAAGAGAGAGGATGAGAGCACAGTGCAGGAGGTAAAGGGAGAGAAGGAGATTACAGTGCAGGAGTTAAAGGGAGAGGAGGAGAGTATAGTGAAAGAGGGAAAGGCAGGGGAGGAGAGAATAATGCAGGAGGTAAAGAGAGAGGAGGAGGGCATAGTGCAGTAGGGAAAGGGAGAGGATGAGAGTGTAGTGCAGGAGGTAAAGGAAGAGGAGGAGAGTATAGGGCAGGAGGTAAGGGGAGAGGGGAGAGCATAGTGCAGGAGGTAAATGTCGAGGAGCAGAGCATAGTGCAGGAGATAAAGGGAGAGGAGGAGAGTATAGTGCAGGCGGGAAAGAGAGAGGAGGAGAGTATTGTGCAGGTGTTAAAGGGAGAGGAAGAGGGAATATTGCAGGAGGTAAAGAGAGAGGAGGATAGAATAGTGCAGGAGGTAAAGGGAGAGGAGGAGAATATAGCGCAGGAGGGAAAGAGAGAGGAGGAGAGTATTGTGCAGGAGTTAAAGGGAAAGGAGGAGAGCATAGTGCAGTAGATAAACAGAAAGGAGAAGAGCATAGTGCAGGAGGTAAAGGGAGAGGGGAGAGCATAGTGCAGAAGGGAAAGGGAGGGGAGGAGAGTATAGTGCAGGATATAAAGGAAGAAGAGGAGGGTATAGCACAAGGGGTGAAGAGAGAGGAGGACAGCATAGTGCAGGAGGTAAAGAGAGATGAGGAAAGCATAGTGCTGTGGGTAAAGAGAGAGGAGGAGAGCATAGTGCAGGAGGTAAAGAGAGAGGATGAGAGCATAGTGCAGGAGGTAAAGGGAGATGAGGAGGGCATAGTGCAGAAGGGAAAGGGAGAGGAGGAAATTATAGTGTAGGAGTTAAAGGGAGAGGAGGAGAGTATAGTGAAGGAGGGAAATGCAGAGGAGGAGAGTATAATGCAGGAGGTAAAGAGAGAGGAGGAGGGCATAGTGCAGTAGGGAAAGGAGGAGAGTGTAGTGCAGGAGGTAAATGAAGAGGAGGAGAGTATAGCGCAGGAGGTAAGGGGAGAGGGGAGACCATAGTGCAGGAAGTAAATGTCGAGGAGCAGAACATAGTGCAGGAGATAAAGGGAGAGAAGGAGAATATAGCGCAGGAGGGAAAGAGAGAGGAGGAGAGTATTGTGCAAGAGTTAAAGGGAGAGGAGGAGGGTAGAGTGCAGGAGGTAAAGGGAGTGGAGGATAGAACAGTGCAGGAGGTAAAGTGGGAGGAGAATAGCATGGTGCAGGAGATGAAGAGAGAGCATGGTGCAGGAGGTAAAAGGAGAGGAGAGGAGCACAGTGCAGGAGGTAAAGAGAGATGGAAGAGCAAAGTGACAGAGGTAAAGGGAGAGAAGGAGAGCATAGTTCAGGAGGTAAAGGGAGAGGAGGAGAGCCTAGTGCAGGAGGTAAAGGGAGAGGAGGAGGGTATAGTGCAAGAGTAAAAAGGGAAAGCAGGAGGATAAAGCACAGGAGGTAAAGGGAGAGGAGGATTGAATAGTGCAGGAGGTAAATTGGGAGGAGGATAGCATGGTGCAGGAGATAAAGAGAGAGCATGGTGCAGGAGGTAAAAGGAGAGGAGAAGAGCACAGTGCAGGAGGTAAAGAGAGATGGGGAGAGCAAAGTGCCAGAGGTAAAGGGAGAGAATGAGAGCATAGTTCAGGAGGTAAAGGGAGAGGGGGAGAGCATAGTGCAGCAGGTAAAGGGAGAAGGGGAGAGAATAGTGCAGGAGGTAAAGGGAGAGGACCAGAGTATAGTGCAGGAGGTAAAGGGAGAGGAGGTGGGTATAGTGCAGTAGGTAAAGGGAGAGGAGTAGAGCATAGTGCAGTAGGTAAAGGGAGAGGAGGAGAGCATGATGCAGGAGATAAAGTGAGAGAAGCAGAGGATAGTGCAGGAGGTAAAGGGAGAGTTGAAGGGTATAGTGCAGGAGATAAAATGAGAGGAAGAGAACATAGCGCAGGAGGTAAAAGGAGAGGATGAGAGTATAGTGCAGGAGGTAAAGGGAGAGGAGGAGGATAGAGCACAGGAGGTAAAGAGAGAGGAGGAGAGCATAGTGTAGGAGGTAAAGGGAAAGGAGGAGGGTATAGCGCAGGAGGTAAAGGGAGAGGAGGAGAGCATAATGCAGGAGGTAAAGTGAGAGGAGAAGAGCACAATGCAGGAGGTAAAGGGAGAGCAGGAGAGCATAGTGCAGAAGATAAAGGAGAGAGGAGTAGAGCATAGTGCAGGAGGTAAAGGGAGAGGAGGAGGGTATAGTGCAGCAGTTAAAGGGAGAGGATGAGAGCATAGTTCAGGAGGTAAAGGGAGAGCAGGAGAGCATAATGCAGTAGGTAAAGAGAGAGAAGGAGAGCATAGTTCAGGAGGTAAAGGGAGAGGAGGAAAGCCTAGTGCAGGACGTAAAGGGAGAGGAAGAGGAGGGTATAGTGCAAGAGTAAAAAGGGAAAGCAGGAGGATAAAGCACAAGAGGTAAAGGGAGAGGAGGATAGAATAGTGCAGGAGGTAAATTGGCAGGAGGATAAAGCACAGGAGATAAAGAGAGAGCATGGTGCAGGAGGTAAAAGGAGAGGAGAAGAGCACAGTGCAGGAGGTAAAGAGAGATGGGGAGAGCAAAGTGCCGGAGGTAAAGGGAGAGAAGGAGAGCATAGTTCAGGAGGTAAAGGGAGAGGAGGAGAGCATAGTGCAGCAGGTAAAGGGAGAAGAGGAGGGTATAGCGCCAAAGGTAAATGGAGAGGAGGAGGGTATAGTGCAGGAGGGAAAGGGAGAGGAGGAGTGTATAGTTCCAGAGGTGAAGGGAGAAAGCAGAGCATAGTGCAGGAGGTAAAGAGAGAGGAGGAAAGCATAGTGCAGGAGGTAAAGAGAGAGGAGGAGTGTATAGCGCAGAAGATAAAGAGAGAGGAGGAGAGCATGATGCAGGAGATAAAGGGAGAGAAGCAGAGCATAGTGCAGGAGGTAAAGGGAGAGTTGAAGGGTATAGTGCAGGAGATAAAATGAGAGAAAGAGAACATAGCGCAGGAGGAAAAGGGAGAGGAGGAGAGCATAGTGCAGGAGGTAAAGGGAAAGGAGGAGGGTATAGCGCAGGAGGTAAAGGGAGAGGAGGAGAGCATAATGCAGAAGGTAAAGTGAGAGGAGAAGAGCATACTGCAAGAGGTAAAGGGAGAAGAGGAGGGTATAGCGCAGGAGGTAAATGGAGAGGAGGAGGGTATAGTGTAGGAGGGAAAGGGAGAGGAGTGCATAGTGCAGGAGGTAAAGGGAGAAGAGGAGAGCCTAGTGCAGGAGGTAAAGGGAGAAGAGGAGAGCCTAGTGCAGGAGGTAATATACTATAATGGGTGTGGCAAGGCTAGAGATGTAGAACATACTACCATTTACCAGAGAGGAAAGTGGACCATAGTACAGGTAGCAAAGTGAGAGGATCAGAGCATAATGTAGGTGGCAAGGGGAGAGAAGTAGATCATAGTACAGATGGAGGTAAAGAGAGAGAAGGAGAGTATAGTGCAGGAGGTGAGGAGGAAGAAGCAGGGAATAGTGCAGGAGACCTGGGAGAGGAACCAAGCACAGTGCGAGTAATAACGGGAGAGGAGCAGGCGAGAGAAGCAGAATATTGTGGCTTGTGAAAGAACAAATCAGCTCATTTTGAGGCAACAATAGCTTTTCCATCACTTTCAATGAGGGACAAACTTGGCTGAAATGAATGCAAATTATTTTCTTCTTCTATTACAGGACTTTATTGTGGTTTATCCCTAACGTACCTTTCTCCCCTTCTACAGGTTGCCAAGGATTGCAAGAAAACAACAGACCCAACTGGTGACTGAATTGGTTAACCTGAGGAGACACAATGAGTTTTTCACCGTTACTCTCAAGGGGCGCAATGGATATTCTAGAAGAGTTGCAGCTGCTAACAGCAAAAACTATGGAAAAAATAGAAGTCTCGAAACATTACGAAATCATCAGGGAATTGGGAAAGGGAACGTACGGGCGAGTTGACCTCGCTATTCACAAAACAAGAGGTAATTACCCAAATGTAAATTACAGAAAATCACTGCCCTCTCCATAATAATCACAATACACAAGGATTAGGCGTAAAGACAATTTAGTCAAAGACTCCATTCACCTTTACACAGGGGGCTCAGGATTATCTATTAAATCCTACACTATGGTTCTAGTTCAATCCATGGTTTATGAATAAGCACACACAAAAAACTGCGTTTTGTCTCGTCAATGTTTTTTTTTTATTTTTTTTTAATTGGGTGAGCCGTTAAAAGGATGCTCTTAGTAGCATAACCATTACAGCCGGAATGCTGTTTCCCTGTCTGTCAAATTGTTTACACGCAGTTTGATAAAAACCAGGGGCTCATCTGACTGGCACCCGTGGTCCGACACCTTGCCTGCCACTCAGATAATGATAATTTACAAATGTTATTTACAAGTCCGTCCAAACGTGGATGGCAAAGTTAAAAGCGCAGTATGTGACAAGTCAGGTTTTTACGTGAAAGTTCTAAGATTTGCTTTTTTACCCGTGTATTTCAAAACTAAACAAACAAAACTCATTTTCAAAAAAACCCACAGATATATATATTATAAAACTGTATTTCTAACACTATAGTGCCCTCTGTCAACCACCTCCCTTGTGCCCCCCCCCCTCCCTCCATCCAGCTCCAAATAAAAGTTAAAAGACATTTTTTCACTTACCTGATTCCTGCACCGATGTCCCTCGGTGCTTGGTCAGGCCTCTCCTCCACTGACGTCACAGCAATTCGGGAACTTAATAGACCGTGCTTTCCTATGGGGTTTTTCAAAATGTCCTCATGCAAAGCACCTCTAGTGGCTGTATCGTAGAAGTCTTAAGCCTTCAATGTAAACATTGCCGTATCTCTAAAACGACAATGTTTGAAGCTGTAGGGTTAAGGGAACGGGGACAGTGCACCCAAATCACTTCAATGAGATGAAGTTGCCTGGGTGCCTATCGGGTCCTTTTAAAAGCAGCCCACAGATTGCGCTGGAGTGTTAAATTCTGGAGTAACAAAAAGGAGACTTGACAAGAACGTTACAGAGAAATTGCACATTTATTTAAATTCTGTAAACGAGCAGTTTAGGACAAAATACAGAAGACGGGATGCATTTTCCCCTTAGAAATTAATTAGCCCTCTCTTTGCACAACATGTAAAGCTGTCAAAGCAGCGTCAATATTCACAGTGGGGAAGAGGTATTCAGCGAATTAATTTGGATATGCTCACATTGCCGTTAGAAGGATGGAAAAAAACACAGAGATTCCAATCAAAAATGTCCTATATGCTTTAAATGTTATACTGGCACTGGAATGGTTAAATAAAACCTTCAAGCCGTCAATTCTCCTCTTTACGGTACCCAGCTTGAAATCTGTCTAATGGTCTAGAACTACATTAAAACCCTGTGCTTAAATCTATGGAATAAATATTCATAACCGGAAATATGAATAATGTACAAAAGTCTGGAAGAAAATGGACGTCTCTACTAATAAGCTCATTACTGTTCGGAGTTATCCATTCCAAGGAATGTCAGTTTTAGGGAAAATAGCAATAGTAGGGAATTTTTACAATTATGGCTATTTTGGCTAAAGATTTTACGCTATATAATTCTCTATATAGGAAATACCTTTGACATTGCACAGGAAGCCAACTTGTCACCGAATAATTATTTACCTGCAGTTTGAATAGTGTAATCACAAATAGACCGTAATCTCTAAAAATATCTATGTGTTCAATGACAATGATGTGAGCCTTATTTTTTTATATATATATTTTTTTTTAAAGGTACAAAAATGGCTCTAAAATTTCTAAGGAAGAAGACGACCAAACAAAAGAGCTTCCTACAGGAATATTGCATTTCTCGTTATTTGTCTTCCTGCCCCTATATTATCAGCATGTACGACATAGCTTTTGAAACCAACGAATATTATGTTTTCGCACAGGAATACGCTGTGGCTGGAGATCTGTTTGATATCATCCCACCGCAGGTAAGTCGAACATATTAAGGACAAGGAAAAGCATTTCATAGGATCTGTAACTCAGACAGCGGACATTAAATCCTTGTAGGCACAATGTATAAACTTACTCACATTTCCCTGATGACCAAATCCATCTCCGTTTCGTTCCAACTGTGCCCTCAATGTACTAAATGTACTAAAAATGTACTAAAAGTAGTCTTTCCCAGAACTGACCCATTCATTTTTAATGCATTGTAGAGTTAATGCATTTAAATTATGTATGCAAAAAAAAAATCCAAAATAATAGAATATAAATAAATAAAATACTTATAAAATAGCTGCATTTGTAATAAATTCCAAGGCTTCTCATCAGCCAACCAGGACACTTTGAATGGTACACACGTGTTAACCGCTGACTTGATTCCATAAGTCCATGAACAGAAGGGTTAATGAGATAAACAATGGTTTCTTGTAGTTGTAGTTATCAATTTTCCCTAAAAAAAACCAAACAAAAACAGAACCTATATAAATTGAGCATACAAATAAACAGAATTACAGATAATAATTTATGGCAAGATCTACAAAATCAAAACACGTGTTTGATGCCTAAAATGTTTCTTTAAATGAAAATATTTATGGGTTATATCAGGGGGTCACCAACCCAGTCCTCAAGTACCCCATAGCAGTCCAGGATGTAGGGATTACCCTGTTGTGTCTAAAGTTTTTTGTTTTTTTCTAAAAACACCTTAGACACAACTGGGTAATCCTTAAATGCTGGACTGTAGGGGTACTCAAGGATTGGAACCACTTGGTGATATGATCGGCTGTTGAAATTGTATTTGGCCTAGAACTGGATGAGTGTTATGGTGCAAGGATTTGGTTTGCATTTTTTGGCGATTCTCTGCCTGGTATTCTATCAGAGGTATTCTTGCACCTGCCTACCTGAACAGGTGTTAACCTATTGTTTCAGAGTCCTATTTGTCATTGCAGGTTGGCCTCTCTGAGCACACCACAAAGCGCTGTATATACCAAGTTGCTCTAGCACTGGATTATCTGCACAACAGGAAATTAGTCCATCGCGATATCAAGCCTGAAAATATTCTAATTTTTGACAAAGAATGTCGAAAAATTAAACTCTCCGATTTTGGCATGACCAGGATTGCCGGCACAACGGAAAAACGCGTGAGTGGTACTATTCCATATACTGCTCCAGAACTTTGCGAGACCTCAAAGCATAGCGGATTTCTAGTGGAATACAGCATTGATGTGTGGGCGTTCGGCGTTCTTCTGTTTTGTATGATGACTGGTAACTTTCCCTGGGAGAAAGCACTACATTTGGACTCGTTCTACTATGAATTTTTACAGTGGCAACGGTACAAAAGCACCACAATACCTTCTCAGTGGCGTAAATTCACACCCCACGCCCTTAAAATGTTTAGCAAGCTGCTGTCTATTGAGCCAGAAAAACGATGCGCCATTAAAGACGTATTGTGGTATTTTGCCAAGACGTGGTTAGTGAACAAGGAGGAACCGCCGAACGCCGACATAAAAACCAATAGCGACATTTTTGCACACATTAAACCGCAAGGTCTATCCCTCGGCGGAGGCTCCGATAATATCAACAGCAATAAAACGGAGACCAGCCCCAGCTTATCATTCTCGTCTTGCAGTAGCTACGAAGATGTAGCAAAAGACACTAATTCTAATGCCATTCTAGTTTCAACAGCTATTGAAATATGTGTATGAAAACAAATTGAAATTAACGTATGCGCCAGCATAGCGAGCCTGCTTGCCTACACCTAATAACTACAGGTGTTTCACTTCAAAAATCATTGCAACCACGTGCCAAGTATTTTCAATATATATGTGATTAAATGAGCATAGATTTAATACCGGCAGGAGATTTTTGGTCAAAAAGATATATATAAAGAAAAATAAGTCATAGTACTGAACTTGTTCAGAAATATCCTGTGCCTACATTAGCCGAGGATTCTGGGAAATGTTACCAACCAACACAAGCTGTATAGGTTAGAAGGTCAAATGCTGAAATGACGTTAATGGGGTTTGTTTTTTTTTTGTTATTTTTTTTTACTTTTACGATTTTTTAAAAGTATTATTTATTTTAAAAGATAAAGTGTCACATCCTGGCATTTTTAATATTATGGCTACTTTCCCCCTATATTTAACATGTATTAATTTGTGAGCTCTGAAAATAAATTTAAATGTAGAATTCCACACCATTGTATTTAGCTCTATCTTGGATCTGGGTGCCTCCATCTTGACTCTCTGTCAATTATCACAAGCTCTGTCTTCTCTATCATTAAATCATACAAGAAACAAACAACTGGAGAGATTTACCAAACTGCTGTGTTCTGAAAAATGGTGGAAAATACTAAAATGGAGGCAATCACTATGGAAACCAGTGAAACCAGCATGTACCATTGGTACATTATGTCACCACATATCAGAACATGACACGTTGATTAATCTCCCCTAGTGTTCATGTTACTCCTCCTACAATGTAACTTTTGGTATAGTTATTGGACTGTGATGTCATGGGCTCACTTTTTTCAATATTACATTTTTTTTTAAATGGAGCATTGCCTGAAAAAAGGATTAACACAAGTTTTAGTTGAAATTCAATGTGTTATTCAATAATTTCTAGAAAAGTGTTGGTTCCCCTTTAAATAAATTTTTAACATACCCCACCATAACTAGCTCTGCATCACATGCAAAAATGCACAACGAATATGTAAAAACAAAGCAAAGTGCAGTCATTGGAGGAGAGACGTCCAGTTGCCTGCTGGGATACATTTTCTTTGCAAAAGGAATGATTCAGGAAATGTGTCATTAAAGTTCTTTTAAAAAATGATGAATGGTTACAAAATAAAAAATAAAAAAAACACTGGTAATTTGGTTTTTATGACTGACAGGTTAATACACATTTTCGATTGAAGTGACAGGTCAGGTTTAAATGACCACTCTAGGCACCCAGACCACTTCAGCTTAATGAAGTGGTCTGGGTGCCAGGTCCAGCTAGGGTTAACCCATTTTTTTATAAACATAGCAGTTTTAGAGAAACTGCTATGTTTATGAATGGGTTAAGCGTTCCCCCTAATCCTCTAGTGGCTGTCTCATTGACAGCCACTAGAGGCGCTTGCGTGCTTCTCACTGTGATTTTCACAGTGAGAGCACGCCAGCGTCCATAGGAAAGCATTATGAATGCTTTCCTATGTGACCGGCTGAATGCGCGCGCAGCTCTTGCCGCGCGTGCGCATTCAGCCGACGGGGAGGAGAAGAGGAAGATCGGAGGAGGAGAGCTCCCTGCCCAGTGCTGGAAAAAGGTAAGTTTTAACCCCTTTTCCCCTTTCCAGAGCCGGGCGGGAGGGGGACCCTGAGGGTGGGGGCACCCTCAGGGCACTATAGTGCCAGGAAAACGAGTATGTTTTCCTGGCACTATAGTGGTCCTTTAAGAAAACAGGGAGCTTTACAGCTGTGGTACTCAGCAAAAAAAATGTGCTTTGTGTAACACTATACAATGTCAAATTACATTTTTCTTAACTAGATGCAATGACTGTAGTCTTTCTCAATCTACATATATGTGTATTAATTGAAATGAAAATCACCCATTAAGTGGGAAAACATAAAATTATTATTATTTTTTTTTTTAAATCAAAAATGGCAATAGCAGGTTACTGGTCTTGTTTGCAACTTCTCTTGAAAATCCCCCTTGCCAACGCTAAAGGATTTTGACTTTCAATAATATGAATTGTTGTAATGTATATTTCAGTTATACTGCCAAAAGTGGTGTATAAATAAAATGACACTTACCCGCTAAGTTTTAGAGTCTTTAGGTGTGCTCTTATAAGCCTCTACAATATAGAACTCATAAAAGATAAATTAAATATAACCTGGATGTTCCTGGCTTCTACATGGAAAATAAATAATTAAACTAAAATGTGGTGTTAATTAAATGAGAGCTTACAAAATAACTATAATGGCTTTAAATCAAGGTTAAAAAACCTGATTTGAATTTTTTTCTTTTTTCATACAAGTCCTGATATCGCCGTTTGGATTCAGTTTATTAAATTTTGTGTTTAGTGAACACACCAGTAGCCAACAGTATTGATCTCGATGAAAATGCACATCCCATAGAGTGCTTATAATCAGTTTTGTCCTTTTTGTTACGATGTACAAACCAACATTTATCCATTGTTATGCAGATCATTCTGGTCCAAAGGTAAGCATATGACCATTCTTTATACCAGTGTTTGAACTAGAAAAATATGTAAACCAGTTCACTTTAACAAGGTACACAGACGACAGGTAACTGTATCCGCTAGTATCCCAGGCCTCAGTATAGAATATAAACCAATTCACCTGGAGACAGGTACACAGACTGCAGGTAACTGTATCCACTGGTATCCCAGGCCTCAGTATAGAATATAAACCAATTCACCTGGAGACAGGTACACAGACTGCAGGTAACTGTATCCACTGGTATCCCAGGCCTCAGTATAGAATATAAACCAATTCACCTGGAGACAGGTACACAGACTGCAGGTAACTGTATCCACTGGTATCCCAGGCCTCAGTATAGAATATAAACCAATTCACCTGGAGACAGGTACACAGACTGCAGGTAACTGTATCCACTGGTATCCCAGGCCTCAGTATAGAATATAAACCAATTCACCTGGAGACAGGTACACAGACTGCAGGTAACTGTATCCACTGGTATCCCAGGCCTCAGTATAGAATATAAACCAATTCACCTGGAGACAGGTACACAGACTGCAGGTAACTGTATCCACTGGTATCCCAGGCCTCAGTATAGAATATAAACCATTCCACCTGGAGACAGGTACACAAGCTGCAGGTATCTGTATCCACTAATATCCCAGGTGTCAATATAGAATATAAAACAATTCATCTGGAGACAGGTACACAGACTGAAGGTATCTGTATCCGCTAGTATCCCAGATCTCAATACAGAATATAAATGAATTCACCTGGAGAACGGTACACAAACGGCAGGTAACTGTATCCACTAATATCCCAGGCCTCAGTATAGAATATAAACCAATTCACCTGGAGACAGGTACACAGACGGCAGGTAACTGTATCCGCAAGTATCACAGGCCTCAGTATGGAATATAAATTAATTTAGATGGCGACATGTACACAGACTGCAGGTATCTGTATCCCACCAGTATCCCAGGCCTCAGTATAGAATATAAACCAATTCACCTGGAGACAGGTACACAGACGGCAGGTATCTGTATCCACTGGTATCCCAGGTGTCAGTATAGAATATAAACCAATTCACCTGGAGACAGGTACACAGACTGAAGGTATCTGTATCCGGTAGTATCCCAGATCTCAATATAGAATATAAATTAATTCACCTTGAGACAGGTACACAGACAGCAGATAACTGTATCCACTAATATCCCAGGCCGCAGTATAGAATATAAACCAATCCCCCTGGAGACTGGTACACATACGGCAGGTATCTGTATCCACTGGTATCCCAGGCCTCAGTATAGAATATAAACCAATTCACCTGGAGACAGGTACACAGACCATAGGTAACTGTATCCGCTAGTATCTCAGGCCTCAGTATAGAATATAAATCAATTTATCTGGCGACAGGTACACAGACTGCAGGTATCTGTATCTGCTAGTATCACAGGCCTTAGTATAGAATATATATTATTTGGCTGGAGACAGGTACACAGACTGCAGATATCTGTATTCACTAGTATCCCAGGGCTCAGTATATTAAATAAACCAATTCACCTGGAGACAGGTATACAGACTGCAGGTATCTGTATCCGCTAGTATCCCAGGTCTCAGTATAGAATTTAAAACAATTCACCTGGAGACAGGTACACAGATGGCAGGTATCTGTATCCGCTACTATCACAGACCTTAGTATAGAATATAAATTATTTAGCTGGAGACAGGTGCACAGACTGCAGGTATCTGTATCCGCTAGTATCCCAGGCCTCAGGATAGAATATAAACCAGTTTACCTGGAGACAGGTACACAGATGGCAGGTTACTGTATCCGTCATTGGAGCGCCGTCCGGCAGCGTCATTGGTGCAGTAAGTTGACGCTCTTATCCAAAGAAAGAGCGTCAGGATTAGCATTTAGTAAACTTTCTTGAGAAGAGACCAGTCATCTAGTGGAGACCCAGGTAACATTATAACTGTTATGGAGAGCTATTCTCAGAATTATACCTTATGAGTCCTGGTCTGACTTGCAGAATGGTGGAGAGTGTCAAAAGGTACATTGTTTCCATTATCATTGTGTCCCTGCTATATACATTGTAATGCCATAAAAAACATGTATAAGCTACAATTTTTTGTCTGTCTTACCCTGTATACGTTATAATTATTTCCATTATAATGACTTGTGTAACAGTGTACCCTGTTGGTCATTGGGGGTAATAAACAGAAATAAGAAGATTAACCAAAAGAGCATATAACAATATGCTGCACGTTACATATTATAGAACATTAAGTACAAAGTGCAACAAAGACGACATAGTGCGAAGAGAAATTCACACAGAGATAGTTGTTTAACACCAAATATAAGCTTTGCCCTTTTAAAATAAAATATAGCGATACACAGGTGCTCTTTAAAAATGAGGGTCAGGCCAGACCCCACATTGAATATGTAGAGTAAAGTGATGACCCAAAGGACTCCAGGCACCATAAACACTTTAATCAGTTGAAGTGGTTATGGTCTCTACAGTGTCTCCCTCCATCCCTCATGTGCCTGCTTGGGAATCGATCTGGAACCACCTGCAGATCCTGAAGATTTGTTGTTAATACGAGACTCTATTTTTATTATTTAAATTAACACAAAGCACTGTTACTACACCCCCTTCCCCCTCCATTATCTGCATAGAGTTATTAAATGACTTCTGCTGGTCCGACCCTAAGCTCACCCAACCGTAGAGAATGGTCACTGATCTCGTCTCACACTTTTTATATAAATTCTAGAGCTGAAAGCAAACTTGACTTCTGGATTGATATATTGAGATTATATATCTGAAGAACCATTGTACAGCTAATAAGCAATTTTAATGCTTATTCGTTCTATTACAGATTTCTGCTACTTCAACAGAATTCTTCCCATATTCTAATGTAAACAGTTTTCACATTTCGTTATTATGATAGTTTGGTTTTTCACACTTGGGTCACATGATATTTCTGGCACAGGTCATATCTTTGTTTTACTATATTCTATTGTATAGTTTGCATTTGTATTAAAGAGAACCTATAGTTCCAAAAATTATAATCCTTAATTAGGTACTAATCGTTCCCTCCATTCCACCCCCTTTGTAAACATTAAAGATAAATATTACTCACCTCGTTTCCAGTGCTAGAACTCTTCTTCTGCACCTGCCTGCTCTGCACTCAAATTCATCAGACTGCCTGCTAAGGTCTTTAAAATCTCCTCCAATCTATTGTCTTTCATAGACAAGCAATGTATTGGAGATACGCTCGCGCCGCCAAACCTCGCGCTCCTCCAATCAAATTCTGCAATGAGCGGTGTTTGAATCCCAGACTGTCGGGAAGACAGTTTCTAAAAAAACGAAAAAGAAATGTATATGGTACAGTTAAGAGGGCAGGAACACTGCACCCAGACAGTGGTCTGGGACAAAGTGGTCTGGGTGACTATACTGTTAATTTAAATAAAAGTTGTAAACAGGAAAAACAATCGAATTTATAACATTTATACATCCTCACATGGCTTTATTAACAAGTTGGCTATATTTGGACTAAATGTTGCATGCTCTGTTACAAATTTACAATTAATTAAAGGATCACTATAGTGTCAGGAACACAAACATGTATTCCTGACCCTATAGTGAAAACCCACCATATAAGTGGCTTGCCCCCCCCCCCCTCTCTTAGCCCCTCAGAATGGCTTATTTCCAGCTCTCCCCCCCACCCCCTGGTGAC